TATATACGAATTGTAGTTTAGAAATATTGATTAAATTATTAAAAAACTAAAAAATAAGAAAAAAAATATGTAACTAGTTCAAACTGCTAACCACCAGTTCTTTTTATTTGATCCATTTAAGGCTGGTTCAACCAATTCTATGCACTTGCAGTTTTTTATGATATTTGGACCAAACACTATGTTAGGTGTTCAAATAATTCAAGGAAATAAAAGGAAAAAATCTATTACGATGATATAAAATAAGAATCTTGTTCTATATTTTTCTCAATAGTCACGCTTAGGAGAATCTCTAAGGGATTTAAAAGATTGTTTTATTGATGATGATGATGATGATATGATAGATTCTAAGTTGCTAGTCATATTTATGAGGCCAAATATAATTTAAAATAAATAAAATTAAAATAACTAGATAATCAAATAAAACTAAATAAAATCTTCTAGAATCTAAATCTAGATAAAATACTGAATAAAATTTAAAATCTAAATAAAATTTAAAGAAATATCTATATCCAAATAAAAAAGCTAATAAAATCAATCCTAATTTATCTTTTGACACTTCCTTTTTGAATAAGCCTTGATGGGAAATCTATCTGGAATCTTATCACACCGGATCGGTTCCTGATTTAACTAGTCGAATCAACCCGTTTTGTTTGATTCTCATAACATTGGTTGCATTGTTCGTAGGCTCAACTTGTCATAGAATCATAGTTTACATATATCTGCTCATTTCGTATAACATATTGACTATTATATTTAAAACCATATAGATTGTTTTGACTGTGTTATATATATATATATATATATATATATATCAGATGTAGGTTTCAGTGGCTCCATATATACTTGAAAAATCTTTTGTTTCTTATACAATCAAATTAAACATATACATATGTAAACATGACCATGTTGGATTCTAATTTGAGACCTTTTTCAAACAGGAGAGGTTGTTATATCACTGAGACAACTTGCTGTTCACATACTTAAAAAATCCTTGACGACCCAACTTAATTTCTGTTCACTACAATGATAAATATGAAACTCATTATATCTTTCTTATGTGCATACATATTCTCTTCAAGTCATGTTCACAACCCGTTGGATCCCGCCCAAACAATCTTCTACACACATATTAGTTAATTAGAGTGTATGTAATTATGTATATATATCTTTCCAGTCTCTCCCTCCCACTTTGTTCATCTTTTTAAGATTACATATTCTCTTTCATAATACACTTTCCCTTACAAAGTCGTATTTTCTTTCTCTCACACACACCCTTTGAGATTTTATTTTTATTTTTTTCCCTTCTAAATACATCAGAGAGAGGGAAGACGGACAGATTTGGGAGCAGTTAAATACTCTGGGAAACTTTCCAGATGGGAAACGGAATTGCTATTCACTCAAACCCAAACAAGGCAGGAACAACAAATATCTCATCAGAGCTTACTACAAATATGGAAATTATGACAACAAAAGTTCCGTTCCAAACTTCGAATTCCATCTTGGAGTCAATTTCTGGGCACAAACTAGGCTCAATAGAGTTGGTGAAACAGAAAGAGTGGAGGTCATTCATGTTTCTCCGACCGACAACATTGATGTCTGTCTTATCAACACTGACCAAGGAATACCCTTCATTTCATTGCTAGAACTTTGGCCTTTCAACAATTCTGCATATCGAACCACGTCTTCCAATTCATTGCCACTACACCTCAGGACGCGCTCTAGTTTGGAATCTCGGATGACTCTGGTTTCATCAGGTAACTATTTACTGGACAAGCATGTATTAATGGTATTAAAATCCAATCCAAGCTGGTCGTTCAACTAGTCTCCTGGCGAGTCCGATAAAAAGTTTCTGGATAGTCGGAAACCTTCTTCTACCGAACAATGACAGAAATGGCGTCGTCTAAGAAGCTAATTCTAGCTAGCTTCGACGAGAACCTATTCGAGATAGATGTGAAAGAAGTGCTGAAATCACAGGTTCTGAAAAGCATGTTCGAGGGAGGTTGTAGTGTTGATGATGTAATCCAAATATAGAATGTGAATGGCCAAACCTTCGCCAAAGTCATCAAGGATCGCCGGAAGCATGCCATTGCGGCCGTCATTGACGTCAACAGCAACGACGCAGAGTTCTCTCTCTCTCTCTCTCTCTCTCTCTCTCTCTCTCTCCAAATTCATAGATTAATATATTTTTATTATTTTTAGCCTGATATAATATTAAATGTTTGTAATGACTCAGTGGGTAAATTAAAGAGTTTGGATGCTTAGCCTTATTTATTAGGATGTTTTTTTTTGGGACTTATTTAGGATGCTTTTTTAACCAGTAATTAAAGACTTCTATTCACAAACCATTCAGGATTTGTTTAACCACTAATTAAAAATGTATTGGTTGCCCAATTTGGCTCAAATTTGTTAACTACAATTAAAAGTGCACATTACAAACCTCGAATGTACAAAATTGCCTCCAATAAAATAATATCAGTAAAAAATAAAAAAATGCGTATGACAAAGCGCGTGTTAGTCAAAGAAATATAGGATTAAATTGTTAAATTATTTCTATATATAAGAAAATATTAATAAATAAGTGTGTAAAAAGCTCTATTTTTTTTTAATTTGGTAAATGTTTTTTGTTGTTTTACTTTTAAATTTTGGATTTCTAAAAGATTCCTATGTTGTATCGATTATTTTATTTCATCTTTCTATCAATCCATAGCTTTCATCTCTTTAATCATTTTTTGCCTTTCTATCGATTCATGATCTATTTTAATTCATTTTATTCTTCATCATTTCACTTGGTTGCTTTGATTGAAACCCCAATCACTTGGTTGCTTTGATTGAAACCCCAATCACTCACTCACTCAAGCCCAGGGTCAACACACTTATTAAAAATTGGGCAAGTGAAGAATTATCGCTTGGCTTGTGTGCATTTTCAAGCCGACCTATATTCTTATTAATATTGTTAGGTACAATTTAGAAATCTTAATGATGCAGAAAAAGTCTTTGATATAATACCTGAAATATGATGTTTTCCGGATTGCATTTTATTGGGATTTATCCCGCAGCAAATTAAGCCTTTAATGGTGGCAATTGAAATATCCGTGTGTAACAGTGCTGTATAATAATGGAATGAGGCCAACTTCAGTATTCTATCCACCAAGTTGAAATTTTATTCATCAAAACATTTATTGAGTTAACTGTCATTTTGACTAATTGCATCTTATAATAGAAACGAGAGGAGTATATTGACTAGAATTCAACAAGTCATGTTTAAAGGATAGAATTCCAAGTGAAATTTTATTCCTAGAGGTATGTTCTAATTATATAAAGGACAAAGTTGGCTAAGTACGTGGCTTAAATATGAAGAGCATTTTGTACACAAACACGACGCTTTCCTGCTTTTCATTGCACTACTTATTTTATATCGTTTTTTTTTCTTTTTAAGATGATGCAATGCGTGGGTGAATCCAGTTTTGAAATTTATATGTACTATAGTCTATAGACTAAAAATCATTAAATAATTTTTACATTGTTGAAAATTACAATACCATTATTAGGCTGTAAACAACTCCTCCTCCAAACATTTTTATAAGAGACGTTTAACAATTTTATAAATAATTAAACGTATGCAGCAAAAACAAGTAATTAATGTTTCTATAAATACAGTACATAAAATATCTTACAAATACAACTAGTAACGATTTATGAGAATTTTAAAATATGCTGCCTCCATTCAGTATTATATAAAACACTTTTTTATAATATACAAGGCAAAGTAAATCAACTTTGTGCTTATTAAGAAATATAAGTTATATCTTAAAAATTGTTTTTAAAATTATAAGACATTTTTTTAAGAAATTCTTGTATGAACCTAGTGTAGCACATCATCCATGTTCCATTCAATAAAAATATGACATTCAGGTGGCATTAAATATAAATTAATTCTATCATTAATGATAATAGAGAGAGAAAAGAAAAAAAAAATTAAACATGCATTCTATTATAAAAATAAAGTCATTAAAATAATTACACATAAGATTTTATTTGATTGAATTGGTATGATTTTATTAAATAGAGCATGGATAACATAGTGCATAAGCACTTGAAGACAAAATCACACATATTAATAAGGTTTATTAAATACAATTTACAATTTTACATTTTCAAGACAAATATAAACTTTCAAAATAATGACCTTTATTTAATACTTCATTTATGAAAGAATATTAAAGAGAGGGAGAATATGAAAAGAGTAATATTGAAAGAGGAAAATCAATGAAATATTTTCATCAAAGTATTTTATATTTTAGGGCATCAAATTTCTTTTAAAAGTGTCTCATAACTTAAGATGAAAGAAGTATAACTTCTCAATTTTACATTTTTTGTAGTTAATAATCATAATAAGTATTGTGGTCTAAAAATTTAAATCACAATAAATAAACAAAGGTTAAAAATTTGAAAAAAAATATAATTACTCTAATTTTATCTTATATTAAGAATAAAAAAAGTTTTCAAACTTTGTTTTATATTAAAGACTGAAGGGACTATGAGGTATTTGACTCTTTCAAGTTATAATTACTAAGATTTTTTAAAAAATATCCTTGATCAGGGATGTAATCAATATTAGTAAATTTTTTAATTGAGAGCCAGCGTATTAAAAAAGAATAAATATGAAAAAAAGTTATTTTAAATATCATTAACTAATTTATTAGGGGCTTAAGTTAAAAGTATCTTATATATAATACTATGGAGCGAGTAACTATTGTTATTAGAATATCATAAATAGTTTCATCATAAAAATAAAAATATGGAAATCTTGCATGACCTATTTTGTAAACTCCAATAACGTATCCCGTTGGAAATAAACTTAGTAACGTCAAGTCCCATATATTGACTTTGAATTCAAATATTCCGGCAAACACGAGACCATGCATGTGCCTCAGCTAAACTAGCATTATAAATATGTTCAATAACTACATTCTCATTACCATAAAATCTCCATAACAAACCTTTCAGAGTAATATACACTCTTTTTTGTTTAACAAATTAAATGGCGAGTAACTCTTTGAAGGTTTCTTTGCTGACTCTTTTCATCTTTGCCCTGATCATGTCTCCGATGGCAACCTTGCCGTGCGATGCAGCAAGGGCGCCGCCGCCGGGAGGACCAGCTCCAACATCATTTCCACATCCGAGTAAATCCTATTGTTTCCCCTTTTCTCCTTGATGATATTTTCTATATCCCTATTAGTAACAATATTTCATTAAATTTCAAGTTTATGATATCTAATATTGAAATATATTTGTTTGAGGTTGTCGCTACAAGTTTAATTAATTAAATTAATGATGTTTTACAGGAATTCCCATTCCCATATGCCCTCGATGTTTGTGTTGTGCTCCTCCTCCAGCTCCAGGCAAATGCTGCCCTTGCTTTTGCCCTTCTCCAGCTGAACCTCCCAGTTATTAAATTCTCACAAAGACAGACATGATTATACATGCTTTATCTAATATAATTGTTATATGTGTTCACTTTATATGTTCGTTTATGGTTGATGTGGTTTTGCTTATTTCTTATGGATAGAATTTACTTGTTCAATGAGTATCTCTCTACATGTATAATGGTAATAATCAGGTTTGTTTCTGTCACGTATTAAATAAAAGGGGGGAGTCTCACATTCTTCTCACTGCAATGTTAATTTGTTGCAAATGTTTGCAACTCAAGGATATTCATATATAGTATGCGTTTATATATGAATATACTGAGTTGTCTCTGATGAAGCTGATATACTTGTATATGGCAAGGCCAATTTATAGATGTGGATTATGCATTCAAATTAAAATGCTATATATAAAACATAATGTTGTAATAATTAAGCTTTTGATCGATGTGCAGGTATAAAAAAAAAAGATTTTGATGTGTTCGTATGTATAGGATGATACTACTAAACTATTTGGCATACAAATCGAAACTTACATTACTGATAGGCTCATATATATTAAAAATTCAATTTAATCGGATGTAATTTAACTATAAATATTATTATTTGACTATTTAACATTATTAAATCAGATTATGAGCTAATTATACTTTTCTCCGCATAGTAAATTGCGCAGGTTGTTTCTAGATCTTACCTTTCAGGCATAAATTTCTGAGTCCTTTTTATGATTTTATCCCTCGTAATAACCAGAGAGTTGAGAGAATGTGTGAGACAATTAGGACCTGTTTGGTTTCTGTTCTTATTTTTTATTTTTAAAAATTATTTTGTAATACAATTTTCAAAATTTACACTAAAATCTTTATATATATATATATATATATATAGTATTTCAGACTTTGAAATGTTCTAAAACTCCAACTCTATATAGCTGGGGAAATTTTAATTGCAAGAACTAATATATTTAAACCATTATGGAAAAGTCACTTTTTCTCAAGTCACTTTTTCCCAATATATGTTAACTATTTTCTCAAGTCAAATTAATGAATTTCAAAGTAACGTTATTGAATCCCAATTTGGACGAGTCATTTTTCTTAAATAATTTATTCTCAAGTGAAGTTTCATATTTTCACAATATATGTAAGCTATTTTTTGAAGTTGGGTTAGTAAATTTCTAAGTAACGTTAGTATATCTCAATTTGACAAGTCGGGTTAGTGTAAATTTGATGAGTTATGTTAGTATTCATATTCTTCACCAAAGTTAATGACTTCTTCAATAATGCTTGTATTTTCATAAACGGCCTGGAACATTTTAAAAGTGAGTTGGCAACATTTACACCTCAAAGTCTGAAATATTGTAGAAAAATCTATTCCCAAGTGAGGTTTTATATTTTCACTAGTTACAGTAGCAATATCCTATGCTACATTAGTGACTTCAACAGTCTTATGTGATGACAACATTTATACTTGCATATATTTAAATCTGAAATAGACATCAGCATTATATTACATTGATTTCAATACATGTGCACTATATTTGCATTCCTTTTTACACAGAAAATATCCTATCTACATGAATGGTACTTTTGCAATCTTCTTTCCAAAAAATAATATAAACTACAAACTTATTTACATAACTTGTCATCTGCATAAGTACAAAAAATATGGCGTGGGTGTCTATATAAAAAGTCATTCAATAGTAAAATTTCACTGTAAATTTCAAGTCAGCTGCAATACTTTCAACTCTTGTCATTGACGACACTATCTTCAACATCTCTTCATGATTTATACCTTCTCTAATCAATTTAGAAATTAATCTTCCATCTTCATAGGTCATCTTCCTTTGTGAATCTTTTATAAAATGTCCTTCAATGTGAAAATAATAAAATACTTCTTTTACTAAAATACTTGCCATATGGGAAATAAACTTGCAATAACTAGAAGCAACGTACAAATTTATTACTTCACAACTATCCTTTCCGTAATCCTAATCATGATTACAACAATTTAGCATGCATGTTGTATTTTTCAACATTAACATACTTTTCATCATAATATAGAAAAAGTCAACATCTATGTTACATCATTCTTGTTTTTCACTCAATTTTTTTAATACCATCGTTCTCAAAAATCATTTATTGTGTGTGTCTAGATATATAATCTATTAATCATCAAGAAGATTACTTTTTTGGGAGAATGACAAATAAGGACCTTGTAAGAATATTAATGTCAAGTTAGGAATTTCAGTACTGAAACATGGTAGAAGGAGTACTGAAATTTTGGAACATCAGTGTTGAAAAGTCTTAATCTCACATTAATATTCTTACAAGGTCCTTATTTGTCATTCTCCCTACTTTTTTCTTAGCTATAAAAGAGAAATGGTGTAAGACGACATTTACAAAGATCTAAAAATTCTTTCACGTGTGCATGACAAAGAAGATGTTAAAGATAGAGAAGAGGAAATTAAAAATTTTTCTTGCGTGCATGACAGAGGAGAAGATGTAAACGAAGCAATCATGTAATTACCTATTACCAAAAGAGGAGAAGATGATGACCAAGATGATGATCCACTCCACTAATTTTTTGCCCACATTTTGCTCACGAGAGCAGATTTTTTGCACCCAGAAACAAGAATAGAAAATGCGACATAAGCTGATTTGCTGCTACCTTTCAGTGTTTAGGGAAGAGACAATTTTGTAAAATTAGATTATATTTTTTATCCCAATGAAGGACCAAGTCCTTAATTAGAATTTCAAAATATTATGGTTCCTGATTGGGATTAACGTCCTTAGAGAATCCTTAATTGTCATTTTCCCTTAAAAAATATAGGGGCTAATATTAAAACATGTTATTGTTGAGTCCTTTTCTTAAGAATCAGATGGAGTATCTTAATATCATACTTTCTCACGCCATTATTTATGGAAAGTAAAAGGAAAACTTGTGATAAAAAATTAATGACATATTCTCTCCGTTAAAAAATGTACGGTATTTTTTGAGAGGTTGGATATTTAAAAATATAAAACATTTTTAATTTTTCAAGGTATAATTATTATCTTTTTTAAAAAAAAAGCCCCTATTGAATAAACCATTTTATGTTTATTTTAGAGTGAAATACTCTATTAAATAAGGGTAAATATGAAAAGATATGATTAGTTTAAAGACAATTAACTACTTTAGTGGGAAGTGAATTCGGCTAAAAATGTTCTACATTTTTTTAATAAAGGGAGTAACTTATAAACATTTTAAAAAATTTCTTTTCTCTTAACCTTATAAATACCACAAGCATGATCAACTTTCAATTTTGCAATCAAATACTGATCCGCCTAATTACGTGTGGATGAAGCTTGAATTTTAAATCAGCATTTACATACCAATTGAAGACAACGCTTTCCCATTTTTCCTTTTATGAAATCAGAAATACAAGCCAACTTCCAAATCCAAAGTTATCAACCAAAAGATGACATCGCAGAATCGTATTGTGCACTATTATTATGTTGGTTAAACTATAAATTATTACAGAGTCCAAATTATAATTAAATATGGTAGTTAGTTCATGATTCCAATTGATAAACCGGCAAGAAAAATATTGATTTATTTGATTGAGTAAAGTGATTAAACTAGAAAATGGTATTTCTTCTGGATGGCCAGATTAAAATCAACATTGGTCTATCTTTTAAACCTCAGACTTTCAAGCTGGCAACATCAGGTGATAAACAAACATGTTATTGAAGATAAAACAATGATGCCCCCTCAAAACAAAACGGCTCATCTCTCAGGCTAAGACCTCTGATTAAACTTGTACAACTCTCTTACCACTTGAATCTGTTGAGATTACAAAAAGTTGAATAAAGAAAATAAGATTGAACATTCATTGATGAAAATGATATAACATTACACCATCATAATTCTTCATTTGAAGGATTTACGACCACAATTTATTCCTCACTAAAGGTGATGAGAAATAATCCCCACGTATGGGATGAGGTGAGGTTAACACAATATACCTTCCTATTTAAATGCTTGGCTGTCAACTATGACTTAGACTAAGAACTGATCATTATTAACTAACAGCTAACCATGATTAAACAACTAATATTTCAACAGAATCAAGCACTTGGTGGAAAACTGATGGAGTTTAGATGTTCAAGATTCAACTATATTTATCCCACAAGTTTTTCCAACGTTATAACTGAGTTAGTTGTCATCTATGTGACATGCAATAATAAAAATACCTGATCTCATATTAAAATCTATGGATTAAGCCACAAATGTCAACAATTAAATTCAACTATCTATCATTACCAAAAAAAAAAAATTCAAATATCTCGGCACAAGAAAACTCATGCCTGATGAAAGAACCAGTATAAATAAAGCTTCCTCATATTCATTTATTCTTATCATCTTTTAGAAAGCTTAAAAAAAAAAAACGAACTACTAATATCTGCTTATTGTCATATGTAAGCAATGGCAAGCAATTCTTGGAGGTGTTCTTTGGTGACTCTTCTCTTCATATTTGCAATGGTGTTAGCCCCAAATTTGCCATGTGAAGCTCAAATTCCAGAACCACCAGGTAATAATTATAAGGCCACCTTGATCATCACCTCCTTAATTCTTTATCATTATTTTTATTTAAACTTAACCTCATTGATTAGTGAGGGTAAAATATATAATATTTTCTCTATTAGGTATGTTTGGATTTTAGTTAGGTAAAATTTATTATCAAATGGAGTTTCAAAATATTTGATTATCACATGTACTTGGATACCTTTCACAATCAATTATGGTTCCTAAAATTCCATTTTGAAAAAAAAAATCATCCAAACACCCCTTTTTTTAAACTCTATTTGATAATATTATGACTCTAAAACTCTATTGTGGGAGAAACGATAAAGCTCAATTTGAGAATCAATTATTTTTTCTAATAATCAATTTTTTTAGGATCAAGTTTAGCTAACTGAAATTCAAACACACATAGGTGAAGTTTCAAATAACTTTTCGCGCAATAGAATTTCAAGGCTATAATTGATTATTAAATAGATTTAAAAAAAATAAAATGTTTGGGTGATTTTTTTTTTTCTCAAAGCAGAGTTTCATAAATCATAATTGATTATGAAGGGATATTATAAACACACCCTATAACTGGCTATTTGTTTAAGCAAGTCATTAAACATGCGGCTTGCTCCATCTGGTTCAATTATAAATGTTAAGTATATAAACCAAATTAAGAATATAATAAAGCTGTTATTAGGATTAAAAAAGAGTAATTTAGGCATAAAATTATATAAACCTGAATTATTAAGGTATGATTATGAATTTCCGGCGTACGCACTCATCCGGGTGGGCCCGGCTTTGTCCAGCGTGTGTGTG